GGAGGTGAATATAGGAACGGACATACTTTTGGAGGTGAACTTTTAAATGGAAACGCGTTAGATTTAGTGCATTGTATCAGTGTGTAAGATGATGAGTAGTTAGGCGTAAGGAAGTTTGCATCTTTAAAAATCTGCCATTGTAATTTTACTGAAATTGCTGTTTCTCTCTGGAACTGTTGGGCCATATTTTGACTGCCATTGTTGGATATTAACAGCTAACATAGTTTATGTTTTGCTGCAGGTTATGCAAATGGCTACGGTGCAGGTTTACAGCCTGACTATGCAAGTAAGAGCATTTTATGACATTTAGTTGAGAAATGTTGTTTTGCAGAAGTTAATTTTTGTGTAAACGGCAACATTTCCCTGTGTTTCCAGGCATTGGACAAGTTGTGCCTGTTCCTGATGGCAAATCAGGTATGGTAATGAGTAATAGATAAGGGTGGGTAGATAGTTATAGCTAAATATAAGATAATCGTGAAGTATATTAGGTAAATATGACACAAAAGGTAAATATATTCCAGTGATGCTGATTGGACAGGTAGGACAGGACAGATTCCATACAATGGAGCTCCAGTGGTTGCTGCTGGAGTAGATGGTAAGACCATGTCGCCATGGGAAAAACTGATCTAAGCACGTGTGAGCAGAATATCAGACAGAGAAGAAGTCTCCTTTCTCCCGTGGAGTAAAACTTTGGTTGAAATTGAAATATTTTTCATACATTTGTGCAGGGATGAGTCAGTTTGAGCATCAGTCGGCAGGTCTTGGTCCAAATGGAAAATTAGGCAATACATATGGTGCCTAGTAAAACTTAACATGTTCACATGTATTTTATTTTAACAAAATACAACTAATCTTTGTTTAAAATCCACAAAAATAAATAAATTTTAGAGACCTATAAACAGCAGAGTTTTTCCTGTTGTTATAGGAATGAGTGAATTTGCCCTTGGTGGACAGAAACTGGGTGCTGGGAAAGGGGGAAAAAAGAAAGCACACATCTAATAACATTGTGCCTTTCTGCAATGCACAACCTTCAACCTTCAACAGTATTTGTCTCTCATTACTTATGTCCCATCTGATCACGTGTTCTGCTTGCTCTGATTCAGGTATTGGCATCGGTGGGCTGCAGTTTTCTGGGCAGCCTGTTGGTACGGGAATTAATCGTGCAGGAAAATATGGTACGTCTGTCACCGTGCTGTGGCTTGGCTGAAATTGTGCTCAACAAAGAGGAAGTATAACCACACTTGTCCCATTTTTTCCAGGTTATGGATTTAGCCCCTATGGTGCTGCAGGTGACGGAAAGCCATTTGGAAAATATGGTGAGAACATATTTCTTTTAAGCAGTCTTTAAAACATACACTCACCAGATTTTAGGATTTGATTTCGTAAGTATTTGGACCTTCTGCAAAAACACTTGAAATTTAGCTCAGGCTCCAGTTTCTCTTCATCATTCCTGCGATTCAGAACATCCTCTGAATTATATAAATTCAACACACTTACTGGTGCTGTTAGTGCCAACTTACACATGGATCCTATACCTGGAGACTGGCTAATCATTCTTCTAATCCAACAGGAAACACTCTCTAGTCTATCCAGAAATGAACCAGGAACCCAAGGGGAGAGGAAAATAAATTCAAAACTTACACTTAGCTGTGAAAAGGCTTCCCGTAAAAAGGTTGTGGTCGTTTTAAAAAGTTTTCTTTCCATCTATGCCAGGATATGGAGGGTTCCCCAATGGTGGACAACTACTTGGCCTTGGCAACGCTGGAAATACAGCTGGTAAATATGGAGAGTAATGACAGTCACTAAGTTCTCTTCAGTTTGAATTACCTGGTAAACATCTAAACCTCAGTCACGATCCTCTAACCATTTTTGTTTTTCTGTTTCTTGTGTTCCGCTGAAGGTTATGGAAGGCTGCCTTATGAAGCTCAACCAGCTGGACTGGGCCTGGAAACAAAATCTACCGGTAAATATGATTAAAACAAATAAAATTAATTTTAAAAAAAGCCTTTTAAAAATGCTGATTGGCTTGTCGTTAAGGTGAATTTAGTTGCCAAACAGATGGCTAACTAAAAGCTAACTAAACGGCATAATGTGTTCATTTGCATATGATACTAATGATACATTTTCCTCTACTTTTGAAATGACCTCATATCACCTCATCGCTTTTCTTACCGCAGTCATCTCCTATACTCGCGGCACGCCAACATCATAGAGCTCGTGCAGCTTACAAACACTGGGTGGTGCCCCTCAGCAAGCTTGCAGAAGTCAGCGAATCAGAAGAAAGTTTTTGTTGTTTTAGGGAATGGGGTCTTAAAGAGAGAGCAGGTAAATGGCTTCTCTCAAACACAAGTGCAAACCTATGAAACCTTCCTGTAAAACACAAGCGGAAAAATACAGGAATGAAAAGGATTATAATATATAATACAGTATTTTTAATGTAGGTGTTCCCCCTGTTTGAAATCTTTATGCTAAGCTGGGCTGAAGTTTGACTGTAGCTTAGACATGAAAGCAGCAGTGGTTTTCTAAATGTAGCTCTCAATGATGAGTCCACAAAAATGCAGACTACAATAAAGAATAAATAAACCAGAGCTGTGAAAACCACAGGGTGACAGGCTGTGCACAGAGAGAAACCACCGTACACAGCATCCATGCATTTGTTCTTTTATTGTATTTCACTTTTTATGATTTTTCTTTTCAGGTCTGGCTGTGTCACAATATCAACCTGACCCACTCGGGCTTGGACATAATGTGAAAGGAAAATATGGTGAGACTGAGCAAACATGGTGCCACCATGTACCTGTCAGCTTTTATCTGGTTTAATTATCACCTTCATGTTTTCATCTTTGTTTAAGGTGGCGCTGAGGGTCCCTATCTACCACAGGCTGTTGGTTTTGATGGTGAAGCTAAATCTTCTGGGAAATATGGTACATAATATCTGTTTTATGTGATTTTTTCTTTTGCTTTCTGTTTTAACTGTTTAAAATAAGATCAACTTGATGATTTGGTGATAATTTCTTAACAGATAATCAGGGAGCTTACCAGTCACAGCCTCTTGAAACTGCAGCTGAAGGTAAAACTGGTCATAACTTGTCATTAATTACCCGACCAGTCAGGCTTGAAGTGTACAAATAATTTATCTTCATTTTGGCTTAAACAGGTGCAGCAGGTTTAACTTATGAGCCCCAGCCGCTTGAGTCCAATTCAGCTAGAAAATCCTACGGTGCGTCAGAAAAAGGATTTGATCTCTGAGAGATTCACAGAACATATGGACCCCAACATCACCTGCTTCATTCATCTACTCTTTCTTTTCTTTTTTACTCACAGTGAAAGGAGAGCTGCCCACTCCAGGGCCTGCAGCTGAAGGCGTGGGGAGATTCATTGATGGATACGGTGGGCATAAAAGCTTATTCTGCATTGGTATCTGCTGTGGCTTCACTCTGCTCACGTCACTGTTCATCTGACAATTTCAGAAAACCTGGGCTACATAAATGGCCGAGTGCAACCACAAGGTAATAAAAATAAATAATAATACTGATATTTAGGTTTACATTTATATATTGTTTTCATGCATCTTTTCTGCCCCCCCCCTTTTATGGCACTGTCTCATAATTGCTGTGTTTCCTGCAGCCCCCACCCCAAGCCCGGCCTATTCGTCTGTCCACTCGCGTCTCCCTGCAGAGTCTTCATTCACAGCTGACGCGATGCCCGGTGATGTTCGGCACTTCCCCGATCTAGAAGGGACAGCCGGCCTCACGCTCGACTCAGCACCCGCTGCAGAATCAGAGGGTACGACTCAGGTGTCCGAGCAACCCGATGACCTGCCGCGTCAGATACACATCCAGCAGCATCTCAAACTGCATTTTCAGCCACAAGGTAAGGCCTGAAGGCTTTAGACACTTCTGCACAGACCATCCAGTCTATATTTCTGCTCTTGTCTTTCTCCCAAGTGTTGACATTTTGTCACCATGTCATCAAAAAAAGGGAGTGTGGAAGCTAATTGTAAAAGTACATTTCGTCATAGTTGTAGTCCTTCTGCATTCGATTGATTTAGTTCAGTCTGTGTACCAGCTGCATGGCTGTTGAATTACTACATATTAAATAATAAAATTGAATATTTCTATCTGTTTAGGAGCAAAGGACAACAAATATGAACTGAATGGCTTCTTTGGGGATACTGGGCATCAAGGTGAGAACAGACCTGTTTTTTCCTATGTGCTGTATTTATCTTAACCAGCCTGCTCACCTTTCTCCTGTATTCTTGTCCCCTCCCACAGGTTAGCTCTACTGAGACAACAAATTGAATCTCTCTTAATTGTTGTTGTATGTGATATAATATAATAGTGATAATTTGGTGTCTTGTTTAGTTTTGTCCTTCACATTTTTGTCCCATGTTTACTGTTATCCTTACAACTGAAATGTAATTTTGTTTAGCATTTTTAATAACCCCTCAAATTAGTTGAAATATTTCTAAAAACAATAACTCCATCTAATTTATTTTACATGAGAAATTCTTTTTTACTACTTGTGGCAATCATGTGTTGTTATTGTACAGTATTTGAGTTATTAAAACTACCAAAAGAACCTCAAAGTGGAAGTTGTTTCTTTACTGACCTGTGCATGTTTTACACACACTGCTGGCTCTGTAATTTGCAAACCTGTTTTCAAATAATAAGTGGACACAATAAGGAATCGTCAGTGCTGGTTAAGAGTCACGAAGAAAACAACCGCCCAGTAAGGATTTGTAATCCTTGAGCCTGGTGCAGCAAACGTGAGTGACAGAAGCACACATGCATTACTGTACATAAGGGAAGTACTTCTGTTTTGTTAAAGTGCGTTACGTAAACCATGAAGCTGGTTAGGTGTGAGTCAGTTACAAGGGAGGAGCAGCTGCAGAAGTGCACATGGCTTTTTCTGGGGGATTACCCAGCTTAGGAATAAAGGCCGTGCGCTGATTGGTCCAAGATCATGCCACTTAGCCAGCTCAACAGGTTGCTTGCATGGACTTATACCTGTCCAATGATGGGTTTTGAGGACCAGAGTTTCCGGCTGGTCGTGGTCAAGACCAGCCCGGGAGTCCCGAGTGCGCCCTTTTATGATCTAAATGGTGAGGAAGCTAAATGTGAGGGCACTGGCTGCAGGAAGTCATGATGGTGCTTTACAAAGGACCGCGGCTCTTGGACTTTGCAAAGGCTCCTGCTCACCTTCAGTTCAACAAATATGTCCTGACGGGTTACCGGCCGGTGTCCACAGCTGAAGAGTGCGTCAGGAGCCTCTTCTACATGCACAATGAGCTGGGGAACATCTACACACACGGTAAGTCCAGCAGTTATGCTTCTTTCAACTGGTGCATACATACCTAAACTAGAAAATGCCATTGCAGCCGTTCTTACTATACCTGAATCATCATTGAAATATATTTTTACACTTTATACGCAAAGCAAGTTTCTCTCACCTTGAATCGTATTAACCCGCAAACTAAACAAGCCACGCATGTCAACTCTCACTTATGGCCAGATACAAACACACTTGATAAGGATGGGTAATGAGGATATGGGGTATTAGCTGTAATCTGCCCTGGGAATCAGAGCCCTGACAGTGTCCACTGGTTAACTGGGCCGTTGAAGGTGACCGACACCTCTGATCTGTAAATGCCCATACGGATCTTGAGTGAAGCATCCAAAGACAACTTTGCACAGATTCTGAGCTGCTGTAGAATAAGATATGTGTTAAGAAATCTTTAAAAGTTCTGGTTTTAATGTGAAACTTTTCAAGGCTGGCTCATGGAAAAAAACTGCAAAAAAGGGAAATTGGTCCATGCACAAACTAGAAACTTCATAGCCTTGAACTTCAGTAGGCCTTGTTGTCTTCTTGCCCCATTTTCAACATGGCTATTCCATAAGTTCATTAAACCTAACACTCTTACTAAGGGGAAGTGAAGCATATTAGCATTAGAGTGCTGCTCGAGCTTCTCTATGTATGTAACCAACTACTCATTTCTAGTAAAAATTACAATTAGACAGAGGAACCGTTTCGGTCCATTGAATTCCTCATATTGTTCTGCAACAGGCGGTACTTCTATGTGTTGCACTAAGGTACTGTGATTAAAATGCCACTACAAATTAAGCTGACACTAACCTACAGCAGTGGCACATACCTCAAAATACTCAACAAATTATTTTTATATTCTGCAGATTTCAGAAAAATAATGATGTTCTTTTTCCATCTTCCTGTCATTTCAGGAATTCCTTTCTTCCTTTTCTTGGTGCTGCTACCTTTTAGTATCCCCTGGAAGGAGGTGGACAGCATCTGGATATGTGTTGTCCACTATCTGGCCTGCCTCTGTCCCACCATGGGATCAGTGGTCTACCATTTGTTCATGAACCACGTGGGAGGAGAACACGTGTACGACACGCTGCTCTCCCTGGACATGGTCGGCGTCTGCCTAGTTAACACCCTCGGTAGGTTGACGAAAGAAAGTAAATGTAACCGCAGAGATTGCTCCTGATGCTAAGACCGGGACCAGAGGGGCTTACTGGTCATAACTAAGATGTTTTCAAGTTTTAAGTTTTTGGAATTCAAGCCATTAACAAGCACTAATAAGTTACAACAAAATTTTAGAAATGCTGAATACTATGGTTTTGATACAATTCAGGGGTGCCCCTGCATCCACATTTCTTTCTTATCTTCTAATTCTTATCCAGGTCCAGGTTGCAGGGGTAGCAGTGTTAGTAGATACCCACCTCCTCCAGTTCTTCTTGGGAGACACCAGGGCATTCCCTAAGCCAACTAAGAGATAATCTTTTCTGGTCAGCCTCAGAGCTTCCTCACAGTGGGACATACCTGAATCACTTCACCAAGGAGGTCCCCAGGAGGCATGCTAGTCAAATACCTGACCCAAATCAACTGGCCTCTTTTGATGTGGAGTAGCAACTCTCTCTAGCAGTAGTCCCACCAACGACCGAGTTTTTAACCCTTTAGTCTAGATCTCGGAGTATTGAGGATTGTCTGATTAGCAGACCTCAAAGCTCTGACAGGAGTGTGAACGTGAATAAGAATGGACAAAATACTGTGGTGGTCTTAAAAACAACCAATTAAGTCTTCAGGCAGATTAAAGATATTGAACATTAAACAGTTCCTCCCAGAATCACTTAAGTCGGTCAATAAGCCTAAAAGTCTCATGTAAAGTCTTTTGCAAAGATAGTTCAAGCCTACCAAAAGTCAAAGTCAAGCCTCATTTAACAGTGCATGGGATTATCCACAACTTTAAGGCTAGACCTCAATAAATATCAGACTGATTGCCATAAAGTTTGTGTTTTTCAGAGGAACCCTGGATCACTCCTGATTTTTTTTCTTTAGTTCGACCTAATGGTTAACATTTGCTTCTGAAAAACAACAGCAAAAATAACAAGATACCAAACGATTTTTAGTGTTGACTAAAAATAACCATGCTGACAACAATGCCAGTAACAGCAACCTTGCATTATCTCTCCAGGGGCAATTCCTATCATTCATATCACCCTCCTCTGCTACCCAATCGTGCAACAGACTGCCTTGCTGGTCTATATCCTCCTGTCAGCCCACGGGATCTACTGTGCCACCACTGCCCGCACTAACGTCCGGCGCCTGCAATCGTTTGTCTGGCAGGCCTTGTTCCGTTTCAGCCTCTTCCTGTTTCGGGTTTATGGCAGCGGGGTAGGAAGCCCAAATTCCCTGCGTCTCTTTGTCATCATGGACTGTCTAGCTTTATTGGGAGGGCTTGTCAACATTGTCCAGATCCCTGAGCGCTTCAAACCAGGATTGTTTGACAACTGGGGCAACAGCCACCAGATAATGCATGTCATGGTTATCTGCTCAATTATCTACCTACACTGGGGCACACTGGAGGATTTAGCCTGGATTAAGAGCTACCAGTGTCCTGCTGAGTGATGCCAAGTGCAGCTAGTTCACGCATGCTTGCAGTCAAGGCTACATTTGAATTTAGCATTCAGTGAGGGAGGAGTATATGGAGGGCCGAAACTGCCAAAATCAATACTCTATTAGGGCTGCCACGATTTGTCGACTAGTCACGATTACGTCGACTATCAAAATCGTCGACGACTGATTTAATAGTCGACGCGTCGTTTGAAGCTTTGTAAGATCCCAAAAGACCCAGGAATAAGTAGCAGGATTTAAGAGTGTAATAACGGACTGAAACAGAAGATGGCAGCACTGCATGTACAAGGATGCCAGCTGCCATTAAACCCCGAAGAAGAAGAAGAAGAAGAAGCAGCTTTGTCCCAGAATTCATAGCGCGGCCCAGCTTAGTTTCCAACAATGGCGGTAGCTAGTTAGTTTTAATATTACTCTTATTATTCTTTCTGGGTCACAAAATAAACGTTTAACATATTTTCAGGCGAGAATGTAGCTGTGTAAACCTCAAATATCGGCTCAGTTTATCAGGACACCACATATTTTCAAAAGCGCTCCGACGTTTTCGGAGACATCTGTTACCCACTAGCTCGATAGCTAGCCGGGGGCTAGGTCACTAGCGAACACCGGACTCCCGGCAAATTGTTTTCAAACCCACCGCCGTCTTTCGCTACTCAGGTTAAATATATATGAGTCACTTAGATAAATTAAAAATGTTGTTGTTTGGCTTTTTTTTCTTCAGTATTTTAGTTGTTCCTGAGTAAATCGGTTTGTCTGAGATTAAAGTTATAGTTTTTACACAGCTGAATAAACGTCAAGCAGACAGCTGATCATCAGAAGTGTGAGATGCTGGAGAATTTACTCCGGTGTCCTGTTATATTTTAGATAGCAAGGAGTTTATTAAACTCCACCGAGACAATCTGCTAATTTCATTAAAATTGAATAAACTATCATCTTGTCTTTATTTTTAGTTAGCACCTTAAAAGCTTAAAGCTGTAAGCTAATGATAGTTATATAAGAGTAGATGCTGCTGGTGCAATAAGCTGTAGTTTTACGTCCAGTGGATGATGATCTGATTAGTCGACTAATCGCATAAATAATCGGTGACTAGTCGACTATCAAAATAATCGTTTGTGGCAGCCCTATACTCTATAGATATATATATTAAAATATTAAAGAAATATGCCATTAACTGCCCAAAAATAACTACTGTAAATTAATATAGCCATTAATACGTTTATAAAATCGGATATAAAAATAAATGTTTTGATTTATTTCCATATTTACATTTGTATTCCCCCATTTATTTACCTTCCCATTTAATTTTCAATGTATAATTTCTCTAATTACCTAACTTATCAATTTATTTAATTTTCTAGCTAACTAGTTTAGCTAGCTTTAGATAACCCCACTCTAGGTAACGTAACTACGTTAGCTAACTTAGCTAGCCTATCTAAAGTAGCTAGCTTTAGTTAGAAGTTACATTCACACTTATTTAATCACAGCCCCTTATTCAGATAATGAAGCAGAAGTGCTTCAATAAATCTGACAATTAAATACTGATGTGTATAAAATAAGGTTGAAAAATGCAAAGGGGAAAAAAGTCCCCACAAAAAACCCCTATTCTTAAATGTAACGTTTACATAAAAAGCTAAATTAAAAGGGAAAGTCAATAAATATGAAGTTAATATACAGAAGCAAATTGTGTTTTTTTCTTAAAGTTACATTTAAAAAATGCACTTTAGTCCTAGCTGCTGAAATTCTTCACAGGGGAAGTTCATAATTTGACATTTTGCCAAAGAAGAATAAGAGGAACCTACAGTGTTCTAACTGTAAATCACATCATTGTATCTAATTGAAAATCCTGAACATACTTGATTTATAGAGGTCGATATGCAGTAGTTTGGGGGTGTAATGCCCTTAAATAGTTTTTTAAATGAAAGAAAAAAAATAACTGTGAGAAAGAAAATATCTATTTTTATATCTTGGTCCAATCTGTATTTAACCCATGAATGGTGATAAACGAGAGAAATAACAGGAGTAGTTGCATGCTTCTGCTGTTTAATTGCAAGAAAGATATATTGTATGTACACTTGACTCAAGAAGTCACTTATTTTGCTATTGCTATCATTTAAAATGAATGGGTTTTTGTGACTTGGCAAAAAAAAAAAAATGTTAGATTCATCTTACTGCCCTTCTTGTGAATTGAGGATTTTCTGTCTTTAGCTTAAAAACCATCAAAACTGCATCAAAATTAAGTGAATTTATGGCCACTTTAGAAAATCAGGCATGTTCATTTGATTTGTAAAAGATGTGGCTGTTACAGGGGTGGAATTTCTCACGACTCGTTGTTTCATAACACATTGAACATTCCCATGTTTATCTGCAAAACTGAGGGCGGGTATCGGGAGAAGTCTGGGGTGTTTGTGTGGATCAGTCTTCATCTGAGCTACTGTTGTCCTCGGCGTCTGAAAGGTCGGCGATGGGAAACCGCAATATGGCAGCCACCCCGCTCAGCTGAGTCAGTTCTGGTGAGACAGTCCAGAATAAATCAAAAGGTGACACATCCTGTACTGCGGACTGGCTTTATATTTAATTATAAAAATCCAATCGGTGCAGTTGTAGCACAAATTCTTGACTTCTTATTTGAGTAAGACATCAATAAAGAGTGAGATTATCACTTTATGTGTGTGGCGTCATCAATTCACTGAGTCCAAATGACAGCGGTAAATTAATCCTACGCTTTATTTTTCATTATTTTACTCTTATTAGTGATTTCATGTTAAGTAACAAACCCTGCAGAAAAAAAGGTGCACAGAAATGCTCCCATTTGTTTCAGTGGTGCTCCGCCAGGGATGACCATACAGGCCAGATACAGTTTTTTGAGGCTTAAGTGATGTAGCTATACATCAACAAAACCAGTGCAGAAGAGGAGAACAAATTAGCAGACATGGATTTAAACCATGATGGTATCAGATTAAAAAAAAATCCTATGCAATCCACTGCAAATGTTCATGTGAAATCAAATCCAGACGAAAATGCTAAAAAAGTTAAGAGGCATTTTTTTAGAAGTTGCCTGATGTAGTTCAAAAACTGTATATTAACATCAACTGTAAGGTTCACATATGAACAACAAGAGCATTTTTAGGTTGTGGCCCAACCCTCCAATATATCCAGATCTGGGACCAGCAATAGAAGAAGACCAGATTGTCACCCCTAGGCGCAAGTAATTGCTAACAGTTAACCGACTAATGTTAACGTAATGACAGCAGTTCAATACTTTAGTGCTGTTGCAGTTTTCCTAAAGTCTTGTTCAGGTTCATGAACTTCAACTACTTCAGCTTTTAGCGAGGGACAGGACTGTGAGAAGTTACTTGTCAAACTGAGGAAGTAAGGATGGCACTGTTGGTATCAGTACTGTGGCTGTAGTGATAGTAATGGGAATCTATGGGGGATTTTTTTACGCATTGAAAACAAACGTGACAGGACATCAAGTTGAAAAACGACAGCTCCTTAGAGCCTGAGAGAGCTAAAGAGTTAACTTCAACTACATGAAGGGAGCAATAACTTACGTTCACCCGAAACGTGAAGGCTTGAGAATATTCTGCATGGAAAAGAGAGAAAAAGTCATTAGCCTGATGTTTTCCAAAGTACTTTAAACATGTTCTAGCCAGCATGTAAATCTACAGGAGCCTGCATTTCTACTTTTAACAAAATTGTCACATATAGTACATAACAAAAATTCAGTTTTTAAGTCTACAAACATAGTATTTACAAAGTTACCTGACAGTGCCACCATTGTCTCTCACATTGTCCACCAAGCGAACGTAGCGACTCCTGGTGGGGATATCCTGATGCCTGACAAAACAAATTAAGCATTGAAATTGGGAGAACTGTGGGCCCGTAATGACGATTTTAAGGATATCCTCTTTTTTTTATAACATAGAAGTCCCAGAAAGCTGTCATAAATCAAGTGTTTAAAGAAGAGCAGTCTAAAGACTGACTGCTCGGAGCGTATACATGTACATATGCTGACGTCATTATTTGATCTTGGCTGTGTTCAGTATGTGCATCCACCCTAGTAACGTTATACTGATATGACAAAAATAAAAACACAGAAAGGAAAAGTTCTTTGAACGTACTCATCAGTATGTTAGTGAACATGTTACACATAAACAACAGCAGCAACGAGGCAGAATAACACTGCCTGTCAAAAGCATCCCTCATGCACACCTACCTGAACAACTTGTCGCTTACCAACAAGGTGTCGACAGCGAGGGCCTCAGCAGCTTTCTCCACATGAGCGAGGCTGTGAGGATGCAAAGATATGCAGGTTGTTTATAATCAGTGTTAACAATATAAGTTAACTGTTACATTCCATCATCAAGCACGCACCCGTAGAAGGCTCGGTCAGGCTCATGCTGCAGCATTTTATAGAAGTCCTCCAGGGCTTTCACCTCTCCGGCTGCCTGAGGAGGAAGACACAAAACAACAGGTCAAAATTATTTATGTCTCCAGTGAAAATAATTCATAATTCCACACAGATTAATACAATTTATAATAAAAAAAAAAGTTTTTTGCTCAGAGTTTAAAAAGCTGTGTGCACAGTTTAGCAATCATATGCACAAATATGCACAAACTCTTAAATCACAGGATGCATAGTCACCTTCGTATCAGACAGCCTATTTGTCACAGTGGGGTCAGAAAGGACTTCTGCAAAACAACAGTTTTCTCAGTGAGTTTTCACCTTATGATGAGATCAATTTAACTTCGCTGTCAAGTAGCAGCAGCTCCTACCTTTGAGTGAGTACTTATGACCTGACGATGAGTGGACCAGCATGAATTTGGGCCGATTCTCCTGCAGGATCTTGTTGTCCTGCCGTACCGCCTCATTAAAGAGGTAGGTCGTAAACTGGTCCTTCACATAGCCTGGGCTGGCCACCAGGATGCACTTCACAACTGGCAGAAAGTAAGAAAGAAAAAAAATCTAAATCTCAACTCTTTTTAAATGATATCTTCTGTAAAGAGAAACTACCTGAACCAGCAGTTTACATCCACATCTGTCTAGATTTATATATGTAGTAAAACACAGAAGCAATTTAATAAAAGGTATTATGTTTACAGGAAAATAGAGGTTACTACTCTAAAACATGTATGATCCCACTGAAAAATATCCAGTGAGAGTGAAAAGTCTTCTTAA